TTTTATTTTAAATTTTCATTTAAGTAGGTTCACTTTGAGTTTATTTCTATATATCGTTTAATTTACGTTTCAATCGAAATCTGGGGTTCATAAAATATTCCGTTTAAATTTGATTTTATTTTCAATTTCAAATAAAACCAGAACTTGTCGGTTCTTTTCTTGCTTTCGTCTTTTTTCAAACGAAATCAACTGAAAGTAATATTAAATAAGTATGTAAAAACTCAAGAAAACAAATTGTATTTGATTCTACGTATTTTATTTTTTATTTCGAAAATAGCAAAATTTTGAGCACAACCGAATTACTGTTTTTATTTTTTTACGATTTCAATTAGAATTCCTTATATATATATATATATATATATATATATATATATATATATATATATATATTAATATATATCTATATATATATATATATATATATATATATATATATATATATATATATATATATATATATATATATATATATATATATATATATATATATATATATATATATATATATATATATATATATATATATATATATATATATATATATATATATATATATATATATATATATATATATATATATATATACAAGTCTTTCCACCATAGACGAACAAGATGCGGAGTTAATTAGGCAAAATGTCGCCAGAGTCTTAAGACAGTCAAAACCACCGCAACCAAACTTAAGCAGAGAAGAAATGCAAGCCTTAAGGAATTATAATGCAAAATTGGAGGATATTTTGAACGACCCAATATACAAACTAGTCACCAGAGATCCCACGACATATTTGGAAAAAACAACTAAGTCCAAAATTCTCGATTCATCAATAAACGAGGATACAAAGAAGAAACTTATTCCGAGGGAAAAATCGAGTCGTTGCCCAAAGTTCTACGGGCTCCCAAAGATCCATAAGGACGGGGTTCCCCTGCGTCCAATCGTAAGCGCCTTTAACTCACCATTATGCAAGCTGGAAAAACATCTGGCCAGTGCACTTCAGCCTATAGTGGAAATGGCAGATTCCTATGTTAAAAACTCAGAACATTTCACTCAGATTTTAGGTTCTCTCAGGATGGACAAGGACGACATTATGGCAAGTTTCGATGTCAAATCCCTCTACCCGAGTATTCCAGTAGAAGAGGCACTCTTGCTTATAGAAGAAAACGAAGATCTTCCGCCATACATAATGGATCTGTCAAGACATTGCCTGAAAAACGCTTACTTTATGCACAACGGGAAAATTTACCGACAAATAGATGGAGCAGCAATGGGATCATCTCTCTCACCTGTGATTGCCAACCTCTTCATGATTTACTTCGAAAAGAAAGCAATAGAGAAGGCAAATCTGAAGCCAAAACTATGGACAAGATACGTTGATGACGTATTTGTTGTATGGCCTTTTGGCAAGGAGGAGCTTTTGAAATTCCTAGATCATCTGAATTCCATTCACCCAAGGATTCAATTTACAATAGAACTTGAAGAGGATAACAGTCTGCCCTTTTTAGAGTGCACATCACAAGGACCGAAGATGGACACTTGGAACACACTGTCTATAGAAAACCAACATACACTAATAGATATCTGAACGCAAAATCTCATCACCACCCATCACAGATACAGGCAGTGGCAAATACATTAATTGCTCGGTCCTTTAGGCTCACAAACGAGAGGAACAGAGATAAAGAACTGAAGAAAATTAGTACCTGTCTTCGACAAAACGGATACCAAAGGCATACCATCAGCAAGGCAATCAGTAAACAACAACAGCCGCAACAGAGAGTGCAGGACGAGACCCAACGAAGATCGATCGCTGTCATGCCATACATCAAGGGGGTTACTGACAAAATCGGCCGAATATTACGGAAACACGACATATCAACGGCATATAAACCAGACCATACCATCGGAGCAATACTAAGAAACCCAAAACAAAAAATTACTCTGGAAAACCAAGGAGTATACAGTGTAGCGTGCGGATCGTGCAGCCTGACGTATGTGGGACAGACCAACAGAAAAATTTCAGCCAGGCTCGAGGAACATCGTTTAGCCATTAGAAACAAACAAACAACATCTGCTTTGTTTCAGCACCAACATCAGACAGGCCATAAAATTGATTTCGGCACTTGCAAACAAATAGCTAATATTCCTGATTTTAGGGCTAGGATTATACGAGAGGCCATCGAAATAGAAAAGTCCCGACATCTCAATACGAGAGACGACGCTCTGCATTTATCCAACACGTGGAGAACGATAATCAAACAGCAGAGCGATGCGCAGCAGCCAACGGGGACATCGCAACTACGATCGGGCGAAATTAACAACGCGACAATTCAGGGGGCGGAGCCACCTCCCCCCACGCACAAGCAGCACCGTTACCATCTCCGGCGCAGAGTATAAATACCGCACGCACCGCCGATAACCTCCCAGTGTTCGAAGTGTTTTCGGAGCGCGAGCATTGAAGATGCCAGTTGAGATTTTGGCGAAACGTCTGCAGGATTCCAGTCGGATTCAGGATTTGCAGGATTCCAGTCGGAGTTCAACGAGCGAACGGATGATATCCCGGAATATAGTGTCATCATATATATATATATATATATATATATATATATATATATATATATATATATATATATATATATATATATATTCTCACGTATTGATTCACGGATGGAAAAATGTGATGACACTATATTCCGGGATATCATCCGTTCGCTCGTTGAACTCCGACTGGAATCCTGCATCCGACTGGAATCCTGCAAATCTTGCATCCGACTGGAATCCTGCAGACGTTTCGCCAAAATCTCACTTGGCATCTTCAATGCTCGCGTTCCGAAAACACTTCGAAGTGTTTTCGGAACGCGAGCATTGAAGATGCCAAGTGAGATTTTGGCGAAACGTCTGCAGGATTCCAGTCGGATGCAAGATTTGCAGGATTCCAGTCGGATGCAGGATTCCAGTCGGAGTTCAACGAGCGAACGGATGATATCCCGGAATATAGTGTCATCATATATATATATATATATATATATATATATATATATATATATATATATATATATATATATATATATATATATATATATATATATATATATATATATATATATATATATATATATATATATATATATATATATATATATATATATATATATATATATATATATATATATATATATATATATATATATATATATATATATATATATATATATATATATATATATATATATATATATATATATATATATATATATATATATATATATATATATATATATATATATATATATATATATATATATATATATATATATATATATATATATATATATATATATATATATATATATATATATATATATATATATATATATATATATATATATATATATATATATATATATATATATATATATATTTGTGTGTGTGAAACAATAATAAATTCATCAGATTCGCTCTATCGCAGAGTTCGCTGATTTTTGTCAAATATTTACGTCGGTGAAACGGTTTTCAGGCGGAATAGAATTTAACTTTTGTCCGACCTTTAAACAAAAAACGCATTTAACGAGATAGATGGCAAAAAGCGGGAACAAAGCGGCTTTCAGGTCGTCCGAATTTTCAAAAGGAAAAAATTGTTGTCGCCCCCCGGCTCGCCTGGTGCCCGGAAAAAGAGGATACGTACCGCCCCGCCCGCCATGTTGTTTCGTTTGTTGATCAACGTTTCGCGTAGGCGAGTCGTAAAAAGCTTTTGGTTAAGTTCCATTTTTTTTGTCGATGCCTGGAACAAAAGCGTTTCGGATGAATATACGTTTTTTTTTTTAAATAAACCATATATATACGGGGGTGTTTTTTAAATATAATAATAAATTTAATCAAGAAACCCCATAAGCCAAAAACAATTATATACCGGCTGTCCCAGTAACCAGTAACGGATAGCGCCAGAAGGCGTGATTGTCATTTGTTTGAAATACTACGAGGATGTCGAACTTCCATTGTCTTTATTTTTAACTTACACAACGTTTCGGACAGTTGTATCACTACCCGTTATCAAGTTCAATGAAATAACTACCACAATATCAATAAACAATTAAAATTCCTATTCTTTTAAGTTAAAATATAAATTATTTTTATTTTATTTTAAACATATTTTAAAATGAAGTTCTCTACTATATATAAACCTTATGAATAACAACTAAATTGCTTATTTTTAATATTACTATGCAGCAACATGTAAATATTGAAAAAATAAAATTAGTAATTCGGTTGTACTCAAAATTTTGCTATTTTCTAAATAAAAAGTAAAATATGTAGAATAAAATACTTTTTTTTTTCTTGAGTCTTTTACATACTTATTTGATATTAGTTTAGAACCGACAAATTCTGGTTTCATTTGAAATTGAAAATAAATCAATCAAATCAGTCCTTTTAGTAGTTCTACTGAATCAGTGTCTACCACCTTCAAGCAAAAGTGTGACTTAGAGTGAACGCTGTTTTAAAACTGACACAAATTCGAATCTTTTTTGTTACAAGCTTTTTACTCCATCTATTTGTGTAAATGAAGATGGTGGTCGAGTTTTCTGCCGCCAGATGGCGTTTTCTAACATAGAGCCACAAAAACAAAGATTTTTTTAAAAATAAATTAAATCCGACTATATGTTTTTTTTTTAACTCTCTAGAGAGCCCGACAACCCAGTGAAACCCGCATTTCAATATCTTCATCCTACCCTAAAATATGAATAAGATAAATTGATACTCAAAAGATGTTGAATTTTGGTAAGTATCTCAAATCTACGAGTTGTCGATGTTTTTTTACAATACCACAGACATTATTACTACATTGTCTGTTTTCAATTATTAGGTATTTTCACTTTTTAGTTTTAGTAGCTCTTCAATATAGTTAAGGACTAAGTTTATTAATTACAGACGTAACAAGTAAGTAGAAAACCATAAAAGAAATAAAGCATCTTCTTCAACTGCCATAATAAATTGATGATGATGTTATGCTAAAAATCGCACCAGTGTACAACAACGGCGATCCAGACACCACAAACCACCGCGGTCCAATTTCTCCTATTTCGAATATGGCCAAGATCATTGAAAACGTTCTTGGGAATCGGCTATCTAGCTTTTTAAAAAAATTATTTGCGTTCTCTGACAAACAAAAAAAAAACTGAAAGTAAGTTAACCATTTCGTTTAACTTTAGATATTTTGTTTCTAAAATTGAACTGAGCTGGCTTTCACTCGACGAAAATCCATATAACAATATAAATAAGAACAAAAAGTTCAGATTTTCACGAAATTATATATATTCACATGATAATTGTTTCGATAACACCGTGTCTTTATCAAATGTAAAACATAAACTTAACTTAAAACTTAAACTGAAGTTGAATTTCTGGAAAAAGGTATCTCAATTAATAGATAACAAGAAACACCAAGAAATTTCTCAAATGTCACTAGTAAAATCAATCAAAAACAAAGCTTCTGAAAATAACATCATATTTACACGTGCAGACAAAGGGAAGACAGTCATAGCTATCGATCTCCCAGAATATATTTCAAAAACCAACAATTTTCTTAAATCAGAACTTTTACAATGTATCAAACAGGATCCTACCGAGTTATATCAAAGACAAGTAAAAGAAGTAATTACTAACTCTACACTATTTATTGACAAAGACAAGTATTTTTTAACAATTATGAATCCACAAGCGCCGAAATTATATTCTTTAGTTAAATAACAAAAACAAGATGTACCCATTGGACAAGTCGTGTCTTATGTAACAGTTCAATCAGTTAAACTCGCAACAAAATTAGTAAATATTTTAAAGTTCCACACAGATTTTAAACCGAATTTTTTTTAAAAACACTAAAATGAAATGTCCAAAATCTCAAAAATCAGGTGTCTACAGGTTGAAATGCGGATCTTGACTTAAAATTTATATTGGACAAACAGGTATATCCTTCAAGAACCGCATTAACGAACATAAAATTGCGTTCCAAAACCATAGTTTATTTTGCTTCACACTTAAACACAGAAAAAAAAAAACATTTTTGACGAAAGAATTGGAAAATTAAATTTATTGGAAGCCATGGAGATTAACGAAATGAGACATTCAAATGTATTGCTTAACGATCAATTAGATTTAAATACCTCTTCTTTATTGAACTTAAATTCTCACAACAACATTAATTAAGGTTTTATGGTCATTTTTCGGTATGTATAGCAGCAGGTAGTTTGTAGATATTACATTTGATAAAGACACGGTGTTGTCGAAACAATTGTCATGTCATAATATATAATTTCGTGAAAAATCTGTACTTTTAGTTCTTATTTATTTTATTTTGTTTCTACACGATGTATCAAATAATAAAACAAATTGCCTAATATTTTCATCATAATTTTAAAATTAACACAAGAAGAATCGTTTATTATATATATATATATATATATATATATATATATATATATATATATATATATATATATATATATATATATATATATATATATATATATATATATATATATATATATATTCTCACGTATTGATTCACGGATGGAAAAATGTGATGACACTATATTCCGGACATTTCATCCGTTCGCTCGTTGAACTCCGACTGGAATCCTGCAAATCCTGCATCCGACTGGAATCCTGCAGACGGTTCAGTGTTCGAAGTGTTTTCGGAGCGCGAGCATTGAAGATGCCAAGTGAGATTTTGGCCAAACGTCTGCAGGATTCCAGTCGGATGCAGGATTTGCAGGATTCCAGTCGGATGCAGGATTCCAGTCGGATGCAGGATTCCAGTCGGAGTTCAACGAGCGAACAGATGATATCCCGGAATATAGTGTCATCATATATATATATATATATATATATATATATATATATATATATATATATATATATATATCATCTGAATTCCATTCACCCAAGGATTCAATTTACAATAGAACTTGAAGAGGATAACAGTCTGCCCTTTTTAGATGTGCACATCACAAGGACCGAAGATGGACACTTGGAACACACTGTCTATAGAAAACCAACACACACTAATAGATATCTGAACGCTAAATCTCATCACCACCCATCACAGATACAGGCAGTGGCAAATACATTAATTGCTCGGTCCTTCAGGCTCACAAACGAGAGAAACAGAGATAAAGAACTGAAGAAAATTAGTACCTGTCTTCAACAAAACGGATACCAAAGGCGCACCATCAGCAAGGCAATCAGTAAACAACAACAGCCGCAGCAGAGAGTGCAGGACGAGACCCAACGAAGATCGATCGCTGTCCTGCCATACATCAAGGGGGTTACTGACAAAATCGGCCGAATATTACGGAAACACGACATATCAACGGCATACAGGCCTGACCACACCATCGGAGCAATACTAAGAAACCCAAAACAAAAAATTACTCTGGAAAACCAAGGAGTATACAGTGTAGCATGCGGATCGTGCAGCCTGACGTATGTGGGACAGACCAACAGAAGAATTTCAGCCAGGCTCGAGGAACATCGTTTAGCCATAAGAAACAAACAAACAACATCTGCTTTGTTTCAGCACCAACATCAGACAGGCCATAAAATTGATTTCGACACTTGCAAACAAATAGCTAATATTCCTGATTTTAGGACTAGGATTATACGAGAGGCCATCGAAATAGAAAAGTCCGGACACCTCAATACGAGAGACGACGCTCTGCATTTATCCAACACGTGGAGAACGATAATCAAACAGCAGAGCGATGCGCAGCAGCCAACGGGGACATCGCAACTACGATCGGGCGAAATTAACAACGCGACAATTCAGGGGGCGGAGCCACCTCCCCCCACGCACAAGCAGCACCGTTACCATCTCCGGCGCAGAGTATAAATACCGCACGTACCGCCGATAACCTCCCAGTGTTCGAAGTGTTTTCGGAGCGCGAGCATTGAAGATGCCAAGTGAGATTTTGGCGAAACGTCTGCAGGATTCCAGTCGGATGCAAGATTTGCAGGATTCCAGTCGGAGTTCAACGAGCGAACGGATGATATTCCGGAATATAGTGTCATCACATTTTTCCATCCGTGAATCAATACGTGAGAATATATATATATATATATATATATATATATATATATATATATATATATATATATATATATATATATATATATATATATATATATATATATATATATATATATATATATATATATATATATATATATATATATATATATATATATATATATATATATATATATATATATATATATATATATATATATATATATATATATATATATATAGCAATTAAGTGTACAATTTCAAATTTGTTTTAATCTTTTTCGTAGAAAATATAGTTTGAAGGCACCATTTCACTCTCTAATTTTTTTCAATTTTATGGATATAAAAGGTATAAACCTAAAGTAACTCTCAAGACAGATTCTTAAGCTGCCATCGAACCTTCACTTCCGCGCCGTCGTTCCTACGAAAACAAAAACGGCCGAACTCAAAGCGTCTCGAACCGATGTAAGGGCGAAAACCGATACCATTTGAACCGCATTTGTCTAAGACCGATAACAAATCCGCGAGAATTTCCAAATCTATCGCCCATAACGGCCAGCGATATTTTTCCCCCCAAGACAAACGGCGAAAGTGTTTACCTTTGATTCTATTAACATTACTCAACAAAGACCGATGGCGTTCCTTCTCGACGGGGTTAAAGATTTGCCGGGGAATAACATTGCTTAAGCGACGGAAATCGAAATTTGTAAGAATTCGTCCTTTCTTATACTTAGTGGTGTTTAATTACGCTATACATTACCGAAATATAGTATGGTAAGTAGGTAAAGTGTCGATAACGCATTGTTCTTTAGGTATTACCTCGTACGTTTATTTCATAGTTTTTTCAGCTGTCGTTAAAGTAAGCTCCTGTTTTAACTTCAATAATTGTTAGTTTATGTTGAGTAGAATCCTTTAAAATATGGTCTTTACGTAGTCTAATAAATAAAAATATCACTGGAACTGCGATATAAAAATCTTATTTTGTTGTTACGTCAGTTATGAGGTACTGTTTTTTCTATATTTAAGTACACTTTGTAAATATATTACACTACTTGTGTGTAATGCAAATTTATCGTTAGTTCCTTTCATTATTGCGATTTGCTGAATATTGTTTGGTTGCGACGACGTCATTGCCCCCCATAAGCATATAATTAAGCATAATTTTTAACATGCTCAGTAATTATACAAAACTACCAACAGTTTCAGTATTTCCCGATAATTTCTAGATGTAGGGCTATTATGCAAAATCACTAACAGTTTCAGTAACTACGCACAATTCCTAAAATGCTCAGTCATTACACAAAATCACCAACAGTTTCAGTAATTCCCCATAATTCCTAAAATGCTCAGTTATTATGCAAAACCACTGACACTCTCAGAAACTACGGTCAATTCTTAATATTCTCGATCATTTATTATCCATAATAAACGGTTTCGAATATAACGAAAACATATACGTAAAACAACGACACACGTCACTGCTTCGGTGCAGCGACGCCACGTTGATCTGTAATCCACGGTCTGGATCGCTTGTTTCGAGAGCTTTAGCCGTGTTACACCGATTGACAGCGGCTCGATTCTGCCCGCATAAAAAAAAACATCGTCGCCGGGGATGAAAAGCTCCACCGTCACGGGGAAAATAAATTACTGGCAATTCGGAGGTGGGAAACAGATCCCCCTGCATCCCAGGTTCGAACGACTACAAAAAGCTGGCGTGAGCTTGTAAAGTTCGATCGTTGACGTCGCAAAATGCCTTGGCGGCTTATCAAAGAGATAACAGCCCTTCGGTAATGAAACAATAGGCCGGGACAGTCAAAAGTTTTTCTTATTTTTTCCGTCCTTCCTCCTATATCATTATTTTCTCTTTTGTGTAAGTGACACCTCTTCTGTTTTAGACAGTGCTCCGAAGAAGCCAGCAATTTTTTTGACAAAACCCCTTCTACATTTCATTCATGCTTT